AAAACAATAACACGAGATAGTTCTCTCTTTTTTTTTCCTGTATCTCATTTATAACATTTTCTAAACACAAATATCTAATTTCATTTATCTCTCTTGTCGTTTTCGGTATTGTCCATTCACCAAAAACATAAACAAGTGCGTAAAAAAAATAATAATAATAATGATCTTGGACCTTGGTGAGTCCCCCAAGCTTTTCCCGTTGACTGGTTATCACACAGCCTTGGTGGGCTTATTGAACTACAACTTTACAAGCCTTAACCATGTGATTCTCGGCAATTTAGTGTTGATGTGAAGCTCTTAATACATTATTATTTTATCCTTATACTTTTTTTTCCCCAAAGTTGTGAACCTTGTTTCCTTTAAAGATGGATCGAGAAAATAGGATGCATTGTCAAGGAGTAACTGAGTTAATCTCCGTGTATATTACTCCCCCTGTCATTTTTTATAAGCAGTCTTGGATTAAATTCGTTAAAGATAACAAATATGAAAAAATTAAAAAAATTTCTCTAAAATATCCTTATTTATGAAAAGAGAGTATAAAAAAGATAATTAAAAAATTGTTACAATAAAAAAAATTAGAAAAAAGAGAGAATGTGCGATATAGAGAGATTATATTAAAATATAATTTTTAAAACTTTTTTTCACTCTCTAGAAAATGATGTTTTGGGAAACAAAAAATAAATATATTAAAGTCTACTCTTCATAACATTTAAAGTTCACTATTTCTCTCTTAAGGAAATGATGTTTCAAGAAACAAAAATAAATATATTAACTATTAAATAAGCCTTTACTATATGGGCAAAATAGAAAACTTGCTATAAAAATTTAAGATAGCTTATTAATATTGTTGATATTTAAAAAGGAGGATAGTGGTTGTTATTTATAAATAGGGACAAAAGGAGTATAATACAACATCACAGCATTGTGAAGAGATGGTAAATTTTCTCAAGCCATTATTACTTTCTCCTTACTACTTATTTCTTCATTTACAATGCATTAATGATGGATGAAACCAATAATGTCAATTATAACTGTAACCATTATGACAACGCAGATTTTTATTATTATACTATATTTAAAACCAAGTTTAATATTTGACTAATTTTTATATTAAGTACCAAAAATTTTACATTTAAAATCAAATTTAATTTTTATGTTAAAGATTGGGGGTAGTATAAGGAACTAATTATCCTTTTGGATGACTAAGGAGTTAAAAGGAGAGGTATTTTGAAATACCTCATAGTTGTTGAATTGATTTGTGGGAAAATCACAGTCACAGATCCCACCAGCTCGAACCCATGCCCAGGAGTTTCAGTACAAACGAAAAAACCCAGGGGACACGAGGGAGCCAGTGCCGCCTCCGCTCAAAGAAAATCTATAAAATCGGCCAGCGCTAAGGAATTCAAATGTAAAATAAACGTAAGTTAATTTTTATTTGTCAATAGCCTTATAACCTAACAAGATAAGAACATGAAATCTTCTCTCAAGTGGAAAGTCAAAATTCGGAAGTTAATTGTAATTTTTGGTTGATAATGTTTACCCCTTAAGTCAAAAATAAAGTTGATAATTGTTAAATTGATTTTAGGTGAATCTATAACGAATTTCATTTTATTTTATTATGAAGTTCATTTATCATCACTTTTTTTTTTAAATTTTTCTGAGTATATTAGTTATTACATCTTTTAACACAGGAAAAAAGATTAAATAATAATAATAGAAAATAACTAAAATAACAAAGTTGTGAACCGCCCAATTAAAGCAAGCTGTCATATACTTACGTGCTCGAGCAGTGAGTTTATCCTTCGTGGATCTAGCACTTTAGGTTTTAATTTTACATAGGCCATTTGGTTCAATCCCATTGCAGGCCTGCCATGGTAATAGGGATTGTATTACTAAGAGAATGATGTTTGGTTACTTTTTAGTATGATAATAAGATTTATCAATTATCATGGTAATGATGATTACCAAAAATTTGATAATATCCATTCACGCCTCCCCTCTTATAAATACTCATTACCACTCTATTGTATATTTTAAAAAGTCTTATTTGCCCATCATATCCAATGTAAAAAGACACAAAATACCCTCAATCCCTCCCCCTCATCTTCTATTTCTTGGACTTTTTCTGCGGCCTCTATCTCACTCACCTCCATTGTTGCCGGCGTCATCTTCGATGCCACACCACCTCCTTCCTTTGCCTCCACCATCTTCTTCAATGTCGAGTTGTCGACAAAGCCTGTTCCTTCAAAGTCGGCAAAGCTTCATTTCCCAATCATGATTCCTTCTCACAGTCACACTTCATAGTTTTCATCTCAGACAGACATTCGATCTCAAAACAAAGTAATTGAAAAATGATGTATGAAGAGAAGGACCAATAGTTTTGATTTTCCCAAAGACCCAAATTTGATTCCAGATCTATATTATTACTTCATTCCCTGTGTTTTAGTCAGTTAGTTCCAAAAAAGTGGTTCCAAATCTATATAGTTTGTGGTCAGACTTGTGATTCATGAATTTTTATTGTATATTGAAATCAATGTCATGATCTATTTCCCTTTTCATTTTATTTGTTACTGTTGAAGAAATACGAAAGTATAAGGCAAACATGTTTTTTTGTTGTTGGATGAGGATATTTTGGTATTTTTATTTGTTTACATTTTTAATTTATCATAAAAATTAATTTTTCTTTTACACATGTCCAATGTCATATCAAACATTTTGATGGTAATCAAAATTACATTACATCTCATTACATTGCAGTGCATTGCATGGTAGAGGGTATATGCAATTGAACCAAACAGGCCCATAATGTAACAAAAAAAATGTCCATTATGAATGTGCGTGTCATAAGATTATGAAAAAAAAAATGACACAAAAATGACACTTCAACTTAAAAATTTCAAAATGGTCACTTGAATAAGCAAAATCTCAATTTAGGTATAGGTGACCAATTTGAGATTTGCAAATTTGCTGAAATGACCATTTTGCTTTTCGTTTTTTTATTGTTTTTAAAAAACCAAATATCCTCACCGGCCAATCAATTTCAGTAACATGATTAACAAGCTCTAGCGGTCGGCAACTATTCTGTTGTAAATTTTTACAACTTCAGTAACATGATTAACAAGTTCTATAATGCTATTAGCAAATTCAGTATAATAGTTAATAATATGTTTTCTAAGAAGTTCAAAAAGTAGTATTTCTACAACTTCAATATCGTTAACAAGTTCCATAACTTGAATAACAAGTTTGGTATAACATTTAACAACAGATTTTCCAAAAAATTCAAAAATTGACTTTTTACAACTTCAGTAACGCGATTAACAAATCATATAACGATATTAACAACTCTCATAACTATAATGGCTGTCTAATTAGTGGGAAAATTTTATACCACCTTCATAGAGAACTAATATTAAAAACATCAACCTTTATAAGAGTTGTTAATATCATCACATTACTTGTTAACTTTGTTATTAAAGTTGTAAAAATGTCACTTTTTGAATTTCCTAGAAAATCTATTATTAAATGTTATATTGAATTTGTTAATAGAATTACAAACTTATTAACGGCATTAATGATTCAATAAAGTTGTAAAAATGCTATTTTTTAAATTTCCTAAAAAATCTGTTGTTAATTATTATACTGAACTTATTAATAGCATTACAAAACTTGTTAATAACATTACAAGACTTGTTAATCGTGTTACTGAAGTTATAAAAATTTTAAAAAAATTATTTGCCTACTGCCGGCACCGAACCTTCGCGCAACTAGCCAGCCAATGAGGGTATTTGATTTTTTAAAAATAAAAAAAAATAAAGTGCAATATGGTCATTTCAGCAAATTTGTAAATCCCAAATTGGTCAATTACACCGAAATTAGGATTTTGCTTATTCAAGTGACCATTTTGGGATTTCTAAGTTTAAGTGTCATTTTTGTGTCATTTTCCCTAAGATTATTAGCATCAACGCTTTTTTTAGTGAGATTTAAATAAATAAGGAGAATTATAATGAGATCCTAAAAAATAAAATAATTACTAAAAAATCCTAATAATAACAAATTTTAGAATAAAAAATAACAACTTTTGAGATTTATTTTGTAATTTTTTGACCTCATTATAATTCTTCCATTTAAATTGGGTCTACAGTTAACCAAAAAGTATAAATTATAAATAATATAACTCACTATAGATTAAAAAAAAATACCTTTTTAAATTTATTTTTGATAAATTTATACTTTTTGGTCAATTAGAAATACTTTTTAGTTAACCAAAGTTTGTTTGTTCCTTGGCCATTCTTATTGTTTTTTTTTAAGGTCATTATTTGTCATTTTCCCTAAATGTTTTTTTTCATCTCATTTATCATTAATTTCTTCTAAGGATATTAGTTATTTTTTTTTGACTAGGGAAGCATATTACTCCTCCGGTCCTTATTATAAGACCCCATTTGACTTTTTATTTGGTCCTAATTATAAGACCCTAATCCATTTTGTCTCTTATATTTATGCATTTTTTCCAAGATAATCCTTTTAATAATGATAGTTTTAGCCAATATACTTAATTAGCAAGGATATTTTAGGAATGACAACACTTATTTATTATAAATAACCAACTTAACTTACTTCCTTAATCTCCTCAAATAAGTCAATTGGGTCTTATAATTAGGACCGGAGGAGTAGTTTCTTTAACCCAAGGAAAAGATTACGTAATAATAAAATAAAATAGCCAAAATAATAAAGCGAGGTGGCGAACCGCCCAATGAAAGCGAGCTGTCATGAAGTTAGGTGCTCGGGCTGCTAGTTGATTTTTCGTGGACCTAAATCTTGAAATGAAAAGTCAATTCAATTCCAAGTTTCTGTTTTCTGAGTTCGATCCTCTTCTCGTTTTGGCGCTGGCTTTCGCCTGGAAAATTCTGGACGATTCTCTCCTCTCGTTCTGCTCCTTTCTTCTCCAACCATAGTTGTTCATAATACTGACATACATATATTTCTTTCATAGGTTTATAGCCCCAGAGAGTTTTATTTTTTGGGGGGAGGGGGAGAGAGAGAAATTGAAAGGGACATAGAATTTTCCAACTATGGGGCCAAATGCAGGTTCTTTGTCGGCGGTGGCGAAACAGGCGGAGCAACTTCGAATAAACGGCAATAATTATTTCAAGAAAGATCGGTTCGGAGCTGCCATCGATGCTTATACGGAGGTATTTTTCGGATTTGGATTTTGATGTATATCGACCTATGTTACCGTTGTCTTATTGGCAAAGATCGAACTTGCTGATGTTAATTGTTTTTTCTTTTTCATTTATTGATGCCGTTTTGTTGTCAAAGGCAATTACTCTAATGCCCAACAATCCGGTTTATTTCACGAATCGTGCTCTATGCCATCGCAAGCGGAAGTATGTATGGAGACCATCTAATTTGATTTTGCTCTTTGTCTGTAATTTCATGAACTGAAATTGGTTTTCTTGTTTCTTTTATGTGTGTCGTTTGTTGGTCCGTTGTTCTTGCAGTGACTGGGCAAGAGTGGAGGAAGATTGTCGGAAAGCTATTCAACTAAATCACAATTCAGTCAAGGTTGTTGTGATCCCCTTGTAATTATATAATATTTCAAGCCTTCAACGTGTCTAATATTGATTTGCTTACATTTCCTCACTTGTAAATCATCTGGCACGTTGGAATCGAGTGTGCTGCGTATTTAATTTAGCCTGCGATATAGCTATTGTTCTAGATTTTGAATGGCTCTATTGCTTTCATAATAGCATGTTGAAATGTTGAAATGTGAAGTACTTCTTTACTTCTATTTTTTCTTTGCAAGAATTTGAAGAACTGGGCTATTGGATGCTGGTTGAAATCTTTTGATTAGATCACTGATGCAAACATAAAGCGGAATGATGAGTGAGATATGAAGTCATAATTACTTTCCAAGTTAACGCTGAAGTTTCTGTATGGTGCGCTTTTTATTATATATTCAGATGAACTCTAGTGATATTTAATAGTTGCGCTGGAATCTTATCCTTTTGGGTGATTTTTCTGGGTGTACCATGCGGTCTCTTTCTTCAATGTGTATGGTGGAGGCAAAAATAAATGAATAATCCGGAGAAACATAGTGCCATTTTATAGGTTAACTAACATCCTCTCTTTTCTGTTGGTTACTTTTTCACTTCTTCCAAGCAAGCCATAGAAATAGTGATATTTCCTAAATTGCCTTGGTTTGAGAAGCAAGGTAATTATTTCCTTGTTTCTTGTGTTTCTTCTTTTGTAACTCTTAAAAAATTGTTGGTATGGTCATTTTGTCTTTCGGGAATTTTGCTGCCTGATCATGTTTTTTCTACGTTAGTTGCATGATACTTCTATGCTTTCAGAATTTTTTTTTTTTTAATGCTGCTTCTGGAGTGTAACTTCTGAATGAATCACGCATATTATGAGATTACTTCTTGCGACAAACATCTAAGATGAAACCGTTGGCAAATTTAGTGAAAATCTTTCTGATTAAACCTTAGAATAATTGACTATGCACAAGCATTATTATTTATTGTGATCATGTTAGTTACACATTTTATGGTTTAGAACTTGTAATTATTCCAAGTAGAGTCGATTTCATTGCTTCCGTCATGCCCATTTTCCTGTGACGAAAGCTACATGTAATTTGAAATATAAAGGCTCTTTGTTGTGAAGGTTTTGTGCTGTTAGCTGTCATGCTATTTTTATCTTTTACAACTCAAATGTATTCTATCCGTAACTTTGTAATATTCTCAAATTTAGATTCTCTGGGAAATAATATTTAAAATTATTGTGAGAAGAAGGGCATTAAAGGTAGCTTTTTATGAGCCAAATAACTCATATTGTGCATTTCCCTTTTCACCCATCATATGAAGGTCAATCGGCAGATCCACTTTTGTTTGGTTTTGGTTTTGTTGCAGGTTAGATATATCTAGAGTGTTTTCTTTTCCAGATACGGATTACCATTAATTGTGTATGTTGATAGTGCGATAGTGTTAATTATATTTTACACAACAGATAGAGTGGAAAACATTGGCCTTAAAGCTATATTATCTTGTATACAATTTCATTGTTTTGATCTAACCTTTGGAAGAATATTATTGGTATATTTTCTTGAGAATGGGGTATAGAGGTTTGCATGAAAGGTGTGTACTGTTTAATAGAAACAATGGCTGGAAGATAGTCTTTGACTATGGTACATTGTATGTAACAATAGTTGCATTCTCTTCATATGTATTGTTACTGCCAACACATTATTTTTTTTGGAGTATCTCGTACCTATTTAGATTTCTTTTTGCTAAATCACAGGCCCACTATATGTTGGGACTTGCTTTGCTGCAGAGACAAGAATATGCAAAGGGAATAGCAGAATTAGAGAAGGTTTGTGGCTATTGAAGCCTCCTTCTATATATTGTTTTGTTATAAGTGTTTCTGTTGCTAGCAACTTAGAGATTTATGGCTTCTTTGAAAAAGTATGATTGTTCGTTAAAAAAGGTATTTTCAATTGCTACTTTTGTGCATTTAACTGCAAATCACTTCGTTTGATGCGGAAGTAAAACCACAATCACTCAAAAAAATAAAACGGTGTGGTATTGATAAGAATTTAGTCAAGATAAAGTTGTCAACAAAGTCATAGTTCAATCTCCTGATGAGGTTCCTAGTCTGCTTGCACAACCTAAAGTAAATATTGATTTGACTCTTTTACTTATAAGTAACGCGAGTGATATGGACTAGCGGGCATCAATTCTCTAAATTTCTATAGGGGTGATCAGAAATTGAATGTAGTAAAAACTCACGAGGCTTCCTGTGAACAATATGGGTATGAATTAGAGAAAAAGTTGCAATCCGCATGTGTTGCTTATTTCAATTTATCTGACAGACTACTTGATAATTTTTATCCAGAGGAGCTTCAATGCAGAGGGAAGCTTTACTCTTTTTGTTTTTTAGGGTAACAAAGTGAGTTGTTGCTTATTTCAGTTTACCTGTACTTGGATACCTCTGACTTTTGAGAAACATTGCAGGAATGCAAAATTATTTGGAATGGAATTACGCCTAGAATTTTGTCCAATAGAAGTTTTTCTGGAAAGAATGATGAGTCCTTCTATTCATTTAACAATTAGTGGAAGGACATCACCATGAATAATGCCTTAATGAAATTTTTACTCTTTAGCAGTATTTATATTCCATCTTTGCTTTTTGACTCCCAAGTCTCCCATGTTTTAGAACCCATGATGATAATGTTTGAAACAAATATGATGGCAATGCATTGCATGGATTCAATATTCCATGCAGCCCTATCGTTATACTCCAGTATCTTGGATGCTGTTTCTAGAATGCCTAAATTTTTGTGATGTCAGAAACAAGGACTTGGAGATTTTACGCTATTAGTTCTGTTTTTTCTGTGTAAATATGTAGTTAATATGATTCCAAATTTGAGAATATTGAATATTTGGATATTTGATAGCAAAGAAAGTTACGTTTACCATGTACTGACTGCTAACCCGTTAACTATTATGTACATGAATATACGGCAATGGCATGCGCTTAAGAGCATGTTCAAAAATGAGGAAAACGCTAATATGGATGACTGTTTGACTTAACCTGCTATTTCAGCTTTTCACTCTCCTTTCTTCTTGCATAATTCACTTGTTTGTTTACTTTTTTCTTTTGGGTGATGCATTCGGCTTAAATTTGTTATGATCTGTTGTTAGTGGCAAATAATGCTTGAGCTAAATGGAAAGCAATCCATCATCAAACCTAATATTGGCGAGATGCTGTAAAATCCTAGTGCTTATTTTGTTCTGTCTTGCAAGTTGAAATCCTACTTTGTCTGGTGTAGTGGGAGAATGGTATTTGTTTATGTTGTATAAAGTATCGTTATATTATAGATACTTTCTGATAAATTAAAGCTTTTTCTTTCGACTTGTTTGGTTTAGTTGTCATGTTTTTCTTGTGGTATGCGTGGAAAAGAGTTTGCATTGGCTGGAGGGCTAGAGAAAAGTCTTTTTCCTCTGCCTGCCCCCATTTTCTTTGCTGGTTTGTGTCTTGTGCGATCTTGTGTTATAGAATGCATTTGTCTAGCTGGTACCCTGCGAATTAATTTGTGCAGGTTTGCATCTGCCTGCTTTGTTTCATTCAGTAGTAATGTTTCTTTTTTAACCTCCGCGGTGGGTTCCTTGTGCTCCTGGGCTGCTGAGTGCCATGGTATTTATTGGCCAAAAAGTAAATTAATAAAGGGACGCTGGTTGCTTCTCTAGATTTTTGGCATGATATCTAATTAAATTGACTTGACCGCAGTGCAATACGTGCTTCTATTTTTCTCTTTACTTTTTGCATGATGATTTCTTATACTGATTATAAAGTCATTTAATAATAGGCTTTAGATCTTGGGAGGGGAGCCAATCCTAAGGGCTATATGGTAGAAGAGATCTGGCAGGAGCTATCGAAAGCAAAATACCTAGAATGGGAACGTTCATCTACCGAGCGATCGTGGGAATTGCAGAGCTTGAAGTATGTTTTCTGGTGATTGTCAAACCTATTGACCATTGGACATTCGTTAATGCTGGGTGAACAATGAATTCCATATCAAATTTGAAATCAGCTACTTCATGAATTGTGTTTATGCGCCTGATTAGCTAATTCTTATATATTTATTTGTTGAAAAGTAGTATCCACTTTGCTTGTCTAGTTGTTATCAGCTGCTTCATGTAATGTCTGTCTCTGTCTCAGAGAAGCTTGCGAGTCTGCTTTAAAGGAAAAGAGTCTACATGGCATCTCCCAAGAGGAAGGCTTGATAGATGAAGATCCAACCACCCTTTCAGAACAGCTCGAGGCTTTAGGAAGAGTGTTTGGTAAAGCTGCAGAGGACGATACACCCACTGAGGTGAATACATTGGCTTGTCTCTGACTACTTGTCTACCAAAACCATCCATACACCCTTCCCGCGCCCTTTTTTTTTTCCTTTCCTTTCTTGATATTTTTTTAATGCTTGCTTGTTTACCTTTTGGTTTGGCATTTTGAGTATAACAGGTGCCAGATCACCTTTGCTGTAGAATTACGCTTGAACTTTTCCGGGATCCTGTCATCACTCCTAGTGGTCTTACGTATGAGAGGGCGGTGATTCTTGACCATCTTGAAAAGGTACGCGGTTTGTATGTCCCTGTAAATAAAATGTTTTCAATAGTTTAAAGTCATTACGCGGTTTCTAAACTCTACCAAACGTAGGTGGGTAGGTTTGATCCAGTCACCCGAGAACCGCTTAATCCATCCCAGTTAGTACCAAACTTGGCCATAAAGGAAGCAGTCCGGGCATTCTTGGATAAACATGGATGGGCCTACAAGATAGACTAACCTATGATTTATGTTACCAACTGAGAGGTGTTGGTAGTTCCTCGTGTGCTTGATGTTTGGTAATCATTGTTTGTAGTTCCATGCGGTGCCTGTTGTGAACAGAAGGGTTAAATGTTGTCTAAAAGTGTACATATAACTATAATTGACTGTTTGTTTTGCAATATGTACATAGTAGTCTGCTTGATCATATTAAATGCTCACAGAACAGTTGCTTTTTTATTTGTGTACTTAGGAAAAAAAAGACTTTTCAGACTATTTGAGTCCATTTTGCTGGTTGGCTCTGTGGGCTTATTCAATTTCTCATATTTTTCGGTCATCTTGATCACCTACCTTGTGGAACAGGTAGTCATGTCCTTGCAAGATTCAATTTTGGCTCTGATGTAATATTCTATCTTAATCAGCATTAACTCAGTCTGCGTGTGGTTTCATATTAGAAACAAGCGATGCTATTATAATGTAGCATTAACTCTTCAGTGTCTTTTCTGTTTGCACATGATCAGTTCTAATACATCTTATAATTACATTAGTACCTTATGATTTTTTTCCCCCCCAATCTTTGGAATACACTTTACGTTGTATTTGTGAATGTACAAGAATTAGGTTGCCGAAGATACGTTTTATTATAACATGAAAAGTTATCAGCAGAGTCACTAGAACAGTATTATTATTTACAGTTTGAAAATTCCTTTATAGTAATCTGATCGTGGCATTGGAAATAAGTAATAATTAAATGAATTTATATTATTAAATTTTTTAGATTGATATTACTGGAATTACCCGTAACTTAGAAAAGAAGCATGTACTCTTGGAAAGCTTCAGTAGAGAAAAGAAAAGCTTGTGGAATAGCCAAACTACTTTAATTTCAAGGTTTGGCAGCTCACGGGTATGGTCTCAGCCGTTTCTTCCTTAAAAACAGGCAAATACATCATATGTGGGGGCAACGTTCAAATTGTTCAACACGGAATGCCCCAGTTTGGTTTAACTGATAAGGATATGATGCCTATTTTATAGGGTATGGTTTCAATTTTATTATTAATGAGATGATTTTATTGGTGAATAGTTTGTACATATCATCACATATATGAGTTAACACGGCATTTGATCCATATCTGTTTATATATATAGAGAGAGTTCAAAGCTGTTACATGTAATGTTTATTTGTGTAAATGATTAAATATATGTAATTTAATGACATTCAATATTATGATTTATTTCAACTGCTATGTTTCTTAGTTAAAAAAAAAAATAATTATGCAGTTAGTAATAAATTGTGAAATATAAAAAATGTTGACTTTTTACATTTTTAATGGTAAGGGGTAATATTATTATGATTTTAAGCTTTTTTTTAAGTAAATTTGCGTACCAAACAACTTTTGAATGCCTAGTAAAATTGTTTGGGACAAATTTACATCTGAACATTTTATTTTGCCAAAAAGATCAAACTGCTTATTTCAAATTTTCTAATAAATCAATGAGTTAATTCTAGTCAAAAGAATTAATCTCTCAGTGATGATTTAATGTTCAAATTTTACTAAGAGAAATGTCTATATTTAGTACCTCACAATGTATATGGTGTAGTGGAAAAAGAAAAATTTTCCAATCAAATCATGGGTAAAATAAAGCAAAAGAGGCTAGTCCCTCCTAATGTTAATAAATCAAAGTATAAATTTCTATTGAAAGAGATGTCCATATTTAATACTGATAATACCTCAAACAAAATTCCCTCTAATAAGAGGATATATTTGCCAAGCAAAATTCTCCAATCAAATATTGTCATGTGGAATTTTGTTAAAATAAAAATGGGTAAATTGACATTGATAAAATTTCAAATTTTTATCGGACAATTATTAGTAATAAATATTACACATGGCAAAGTGTAATTGGAGAATTCTTTTTATACAAGTAATTGGAAAACTCAACCTAATGGATATAAATAACGACATGTAAGTTTTGTCCAAAATTAAATTATTAAAAACTAAAAATTTTATTCTGTGCAGAAAACAGGGAGATTAAAAAAAAATACATAAAAAGAAAAAAAAATTGAATCGACCTGGGAGAAAAAGCCTTAAAATATGGGAACAATTAGAAGCCATACGCGCCTTAAAATGGGCACCCTGCTCTGTCGGCTGGGACACTAGCATATATTTTACAAAGTAAGTTTTTATAGATGTATTGTTTATTTTCTATCAAAATTATAAAATTAATTTGTTTTAAATTTAAAATTTCCTATTTTTGTGTGTGTGTGTGTGTGTGTCTCCATGCTACTTGTCAATTTTATCCTATGGAAGTACATTTTTCCCTTTCATGAAGCATGCTTATGTTATAAATAGGCATAGATACATATTAGGGACCATCATAATGAGCATATTGGTGCAAAGTTTTTTTGGCTTGAAAATATATTTATTATATATATTTATAAATTTAAATCATTATAAAAAAAATTATAAAAGTAAGAATGAATGAAATTATTTACCAACAATAAGTTAATTTCAGAAACCACCATTTTATGAGGTAATTATTCGTCTCAAATAGCTTACTCAGAAAGAAATATTTTACCTTTCCCCATATAAATCAAATTATATATTGACTAACTAGACAGTAAACTCCAAATATGCATTATATGAAAATATATTTATATATATCACTTATAAATAGTGTAGTTTTTCAAAAAAAATTATTAGAAATATAGATTTATCTTTCCTAGAAAAAATGATAATTAAGAACTCATAACTTATATTAGTGACAGAAATATTTTTTAAAAAGAAATATTTTTTTTATTATTGTAGCAATAAATCTTCATAATTCATTTTCCTAAAACTATCTCTCACACTCTTCAAAATTTCAACGTAATTTCTTTATATTATAAAGATATTTCGAAATTACTATCATCTCTAGATAAAAATTACCTCCAGAAAGATTAAATTCCTTTGATTGAGATTTATATTCACCAAGAATTATTACAAACCAAGGCATTTAAAGAAGGTAAAGTATGGAACCATATATCCTGCTATGAAGGATTTTACGCATTCTCTGATATCTTTATTGCTAGGAAAGTTGAAGTTAGTATAATTTGTAAAACTGCAAATACTACTAAAAGAATAATTGAATTGGATTATAAGAAGATTCCTTCTACTAAAAGAGCACTGGATTCACTTTATTGAGTTGCTAATGAGTAATAACTCCTGAACATGGCAATGACTTGACTCAAAAGAATTTACAAAATTTGGTGAGAGACAAATTTACTTTCTTTTTTTCTCCCCACTTTCAACAACTTAACCTGGGAAAAACAGAAGCAGAATATACACAGTAATAATGACACTATTATGCAGTATGTGTAATATTAACAGCCCTATTCAGTCTCTCAAGAATTCCACTAGCCTTCCTCTTAGCCCTTGAAGTTCCATTCAATGCAAGATCAGTGATAGTTTTAAAGGTAATCTCCTCTTCTTTTATCTCCTTCAACTTTGCTCTGTCATACTGACATATAGTTTGAAGAATAGCTATGCAGTTCTCCTTGTTTCTTTCACAATTGCTCTCCCTCATGATGCTAAGCAAGTTAGGAACAGCTGCAAGATCTACCATGTCCTGAACAGCCTTTTGATGACTTGAGAGCAGTGCGAGGATCGCGAGCAATTCGTCTACGTAAACCCGGCTTGAGATCTTCCTCAGTATAACACCTACTGCCCCTTCCCTCACTGCTCTTGCCTTGTTCTCATGAACCACACACAAGGTGAAAAGTGCTGAAGCAACATCTTTCATGGCTAAAGGATGGCCTTCTTCTAACAGGTCAATTAATGGCTTTAAGGCACCAGATTTACCTATAAGCTCCTTGTTTGAGTCTAGAGCAGATAAAGTGAAGAGGGTAGCTGCAGAATTGCTTCTAGTTTCTATAGTTCCTGACTTTAAGGCCTTCACAAGGAGTGAAATCACCAAGGGAGTTTCTGCGACAAGTTTCTTGTTGTTGTCATGGATTGAGATGTTCAAAAGTGTTGTGATCACGTCTTCTTGGAGATCGGGATGGATGTTGTTAAAAGAGTCGCTTGCAGAGATTGGTTTGAGAATCTCAGAAGTGGCTTGTGAAGTTTCACCAAAGAGTGTTCTGTACAAAGGCATCTTCTTTGTCAATAACCGAAGCTGCTTCGCGGCTGCTTTCTGCTCAGAAAGTGATGATGAGGACATTTTCTCAAGCAGAGAATGAAAATGATCACGATCTGCTTTTGTTATTATCTCTTCCTCATTGTAAACATAGTGAAGTTGGTTGGATAATTCCACCCCATGGTTCTTGCACCACTGTTCTATCATCTCCCTTATGAGGTGATTTGGAGTTAGGACAGTGTGTGAGAGGACTTGTTGGGTTTGAGGACAAGTTCTGTTCCCAGCTTTCAGCCATTTTTGAATAAAGGGCCTATCATATGTCTGCATAATTGAGATGAACAAAAACTTTAAAAAGAAACTCATATCATTATGCTGATATGTGAAAAAGTTCTTGAATGTCAATATTTACATTAACTTAATAGTAAAGACTCGATTAAAATCATTTTAACTTAGCAGTTAAGTCATTGAGTAAATGTACTCATGAATCATTTCATTATATAATCCTTCAATAGTACCAGTGAACAGAAGAAAGTCCTGGGGCAGAAAGAGAAAAGGGAGCTGGGGAATGTGGGGAAGCAACACTATAGCAATTCACAACAGAAAAGGAAGAGCTCAAAACACTAGAAGTTCATTATTCCCTTTCGGGAAAATTAGTCAAAAAGTTTTAAACAAAGCTACTAATCAACACCGTCATTCACTAAAGAATCACAATTTAATGGACATAAAGAAAATTATTCTTTCTTCACTTTCCACTTTCTTTTTCCTTCCACAATGGTTAATATACTATTACTACGGTTTTGATTCTTTTTTTTTTTTTTGGGGGGGGGGGGGGCTCCCACTCATCCAAATGCAACAATAATGCAAAAAGCTAGCGACAAAATAAGAGGAAGATCCGAAAATTTTAAGTGGATAAAAAAAAAAAAAGTGCCAGAAATCACACTTCCAGTGACAGCAACGCGTTAACAGGAAGTTAATTGTATTCTTTAATATCACCAACTACCAGACATCAGAATTCTTGATTACAATCACATAAAGTTAAAAAATTAGTAAATAAATAAATCGCGTGCCACATTGAACAAGAAAAGAAAAACAGGAGAAAACTGATTAGACTTAAAGAAAACAAGACGGGAAAAGGGGAGAGAGAGAGAGAGAGAGAGAGAGGGGAACGAAAGCTGAAAGTTTCAAATGGTTAAAATTAAATTGACCTAATTAAATGAACAAGCGGAAAATACTGATTTTCAAGGTTCGGGATAAGGCAATGATGCTGGTAATAAAAACTTATTCTTCTTTCTTTCGCATTAGGCCTTTCAAGTCAAGAAGCACAATTGACAGAAAGGAAAAAAATTATAAAATCTAAAATCCAGCTTCTTCACTCCGTTTGGTTGTAGTGACGGGTTGGGAGTATTTGAGAAAGTAATAATAACTGATGAAAAAGAATAAATTCAAAGATTGGTGAGTTAAAGAGTTTCATATTTGAAGGAATCGTGTGTTCTCTCTTGAATTTATGTTGAAAAATGCAAGAAAATCCTTTTTTTCCCAAGGAAAGAAGCGAGATAAGAAAATTATCGCTGGCCCAAAAAGAAAAAAGAAAAACGATCAAACACACAATAATCTATCTAGTTTGGGTTCTTGAATCTACAACATCTTCTCAGATACCAGACACATTCGAATTATGACACTAACCTTTCCAGAAGCCACAATGACAGGATCTCTCATCAATTCCTTAGAAAGAGGACACTTAAATTCTTCTGGAAAAGCGGAATTTCCGTTTAACTTCAAGGACGAAGATTGTGAAGATGGCGATGACGATGATCTCCTTCGAAGCTTGAGGTCCTTAAGAGCGGAAAGAGCTTCATTAGCTTGATCAATGGTTTGAACGCTGCAATCATCATCATCGACGATGGAGTTCACCAATCTGTTCAACTCCTTCTTCAACTCCGACATCTTCGTCGCCGCCGTCGGATCAGGTTCCACCGCCACCACGCCAGACTTTGCCATGCGATCTGGCGGCAGATGATCGGAGCCGTCGCTTTGAATTTTTATACAAAGAAAGCGAAAATTTGGTTCAGAGGATGGAGAAGTAGAGAATATCAGTCAGTGGGAATACTCGCACTCTGTTTCATTCTCTCTCTTTTACGTGTGCTTCCCTCTTTGTCTCTCTCTCTCTCTATATGTGTGTGGGTGTGTGTGTATATATATATATGATTACATATATTTTCCCTATTTACATAATTATATCGATGAATAAATTAAACATTTTTTCTATTCCATTGTCTATGTTTTTATCAAATCTTTTATATTACATATTTGATTTTTTATCATAATTTTTTAGTAATACAAAATGAAAAAATGAATTAAGGATTTTTTTAAATTATTAGTTAGCACAATCAGCTTGTTTAAGAAGTGTAAGAGGTGTTTGAGGTTAATTGACCTCCAAGTCATTCATTAATCTTACCCTTCAAGTTTGACATTGCCTTTTTGCTTAATTTTGCTTAATCAAGCTTAAAGTGGAAAGAATTTATTCGTTAGAAGAAAAAAAAAGAAGAAAACAGAACAATGCTAGGTAAAAGTTTTTTTGTCAAAAAAGAAAATAATATGGGAAGAATGAAAAAAAAATTCCTTTAGATGCTTTTTTTGTGATTTTTGTATTTGAAATTTATATTAGATGCATTAATATATTAGTTAGATAGTTAGATGTTTATTACTTAATAAATAATAAATAGGAGTTTTTATTGGCCGGAATAAATAGGAATTGAGCAAGTTGAATTATATGAGATTTTCTCTGTAAGGTTTAAATTCAGCAGCTTAATATATTTCTAATTACATATAATTTAGTCATTTTTTAGTTAAATTTAAAATATATTAAGTAATCATGTACATGTAGTTGACATTATTATAAAAATTTTATGCGTGCATCTCGATTAAATATAGACTAATATCAATATCAATAAAATCAATCAATTTCAATATCAACTATAAAATTTATAATCAATAATCAATAAAAAAATAATCAATAGGAATTGAACAAGTTTATCTTGCACTGTTGCTATATGCGACTCGATGTAAAATGATTCACTGAATATGATTTAAAACATGATAACTAAATTATTTGTCGTGTTATTATTAAATATTTAAAAATTTGTATCAATTTAATTAAAATTTTGATAATATAAGGACATAAGAGAATTATGCTCAAGTTATTTGTGAATAAAATAATTCGCTTTGAGCAGAAATAGTGAAAAGATGTTTTTTTCCCCCACAGTATTTCTTCAGATTGCAGTAATCAATTGTATATCTAAAAATCCATATATTTACCGAATTGAATATTTTATATTATTATAGAAAAACCCTCAAATGGAAAAAGGTGAATAATAATAATTAAAATTTTACCAAAATCAACATAATATTAAGATTGTTTTGATCCAAAAATTATATTCTTCATAGACAAAATCCCATCAGAAAAGAAAATCAATAAAAATAGCGGTTGACAAATAACAATAAATTGTAGGATAGCAGTTGTAATGATTAATTTATATTCTGCAATAATTGAAACAAAAAAATATCTCTAATTATTTGAGTAATCCAACTTTATAATTGATTAGTAATTATTCTAGCTCATTTAATTTGCAACATGAAGCCTTAAGAATAATAAAGAGACAACAGATTATTATTATTATTACTACTACTAATTATTAATCACGGGTATAACAATATCTCAACAAATGATTTAGGGGGAACCATTATATAATATATATATATATATATATATATCTAGTCGCTAGAAAAGGCTATCCCAATCCAAAAACAAAAGCACTGTTTCAAAAAATGAGAAAGCTTTTTTAAGTTCCTAGTTTTTTTCTAATAGGACAATTAAAAACGAAATTTTTAATTATTGATTAAATAAATATTTTTATTTACCATTTATTAATCATTATCATCACCCAAAGGGCACGAAATTTTTCAAATATGTTAAAATAAAATGCTGTTGAGATTTTTTTTTTTTATAAACAGTTGTTGAGAGAATTTTACATATGGATATTTGACTAAATTTCAATTAGGTAAGCCTCAAACTTGCTTTATTTTTTTAAAAAAAATTATTAATTCAGGTTGATATAGGCGTGTATGAACAATGAACATTCAATTAAGTGGTAAAAAAAATTTTGCTCTGTTTTTTCAAGAGAAAGGAAGGCATTAACGATTTAATATTATTAATTGACATCGCTACTTCTCACTTATTGAGAAATATTCATAAATTACAAGATTATTAATATGACAATTATAATAAGTTTTAGGATATCCTTATTATGAGAAATACTCCTCTAATCTTATTTATAAGATATTTTTAACTCTTATTTAAAATATAACAACTTTTAATTTTAACCCTATTTAATATATACACATTTAAAAAAAATAATTATTTACATTATAATAAATAAAAAACAAATTAGCATATTTATATTAAAAATTTAATGAGGTAAGTTATATATAAAGAAAAAAATTCTTTTTTTCTTTTATAAATAAAACCAGAAGAGTATATCATTTATTTTTAAATAGATTGTGAGGCAAAAAACAATCTTCAAATTTGATTAAATGAAGCAAATCTAATTCGATTAGTTTCTGTTGTCAACAAAGATAGTTTTATATTTTTGAGAAAAGACAGTTTGTGATTTAATCATATTTTATTTTAGCATTTATTTAAGTTTTTCATGCGACTTTAATAATTCAAAAATGGAGACATTAATGTCTTGTATAATGGGAAGGTGCAGGGAGGAAGAGAATGATGGGATCCACATGGTCCATTAGGCAGGCAATCACGGGATCCACGGTGCTCACATACAGCTGGCACGGCGTGTGGGACCCAACCATACAACTCGCATTACACACGTCTTGTCTCATGCACTGGGGAGCCTCACAGGTCACCGCTCTCTCCAGCGGTGTTTGGGGAGTTATGATCCTGTGCAGCCGTTACCACAGCGACCGACTGCGCTTGCATTTACCCTTAGCGCGAACCAGGCAGGCATTTGCCTTCGCTGCAGCTTCATGACTCAGACGGTTCTTTACACGTGTCGTCTTATCCGACAAGAATTCTCAGACACGCCGGTTAAGAAGATGGGGTTAAAATGGTGGGTCCCACGCGGTTAATTTCTACGGTTTTTTGCCTTTTAAGTCAAAAGGGTAGGTTGTCGTCAGAACCAAACCGTTTTCCCGGCTTCACTTGGGCCGTCGGCGGTTCGTTCATGATTGAGTTTATTTCAATTTTCAAACCTTTTTTGCCTGTGAGTCAATGCAAAGCCCATACGAAACCGTTGGCACCGCCCGCCTTTGCAGTTGAGATTTGAGACTTTGGATTGCCCAGAAACTTGTAAGCTCTGTAGAATTTACCGGATATTGATATAACAATTAATTTGATATCTTTTAAATATAAAATTTTAATTTATTTTATTTCTTATATTTATTTATTTATTTTAAAATAGTTTTTATAATAGCGCATCTATTAAAGATTTCATCAAATGATAATTCTAACTAATAAATATGATTAGTCAACTTTTTAATTTATTTAAGTTAATCAACTCGCTCTTATATTAAAAATCAGATGTAATAGTTTTCATATGGGCAAATAAGTATTTTCTCTTGTCTTTATTATAAGTTTCAAATAACTAATTCATGGATAATGAACAATTAATTAAAGTTAGTTAAAAATAATAATGGGTTAGAAATATACTTTGTTTTCAAATATACCCTTATAATAATGAGAAAAAGGATAAAAAAATATGTGAAAAAAATGTGATAAGAGAAAAATAATTAAGAGCAGCATTAAAAAATGTATTGACTATTAAGACAAATCTAGATTGAAACTTATAAAATGAACCACATCCCTTTGTAAATTTGAAACTTATAAATAGGACCAGAGGAAGTAATTACTAAAAATCAGTTAAAATTCGTGAAAAATAATACTACTTTCAGTCCTTAATATAAGATCTTGTTTGACTTTTATTTTGATCCTAAATATAAATTTTAATCCATTTTGTCTCTTATATTGATGTATTTTTTTAAGGTAGCTCCTCTCACAATGGTAATTCTAGCCAATACACTTGATTAGCAAAGATATTTTAGGAAAGACAACACATATTTATTACAAACAACTAACTTAACTTACTTTCTTAATCTTCTCAAATTGATCAACTAGCTCTTATAAGTTATTTGATTACCGTTTTTTAGTAAAAACATATTGTTTTATTATTAATTTACTATTGTGTAAATTATTAATTTTTTCCCGAACTCTATACATTTGATAGGGTTAAAATTTAAAAATTATTAAATTTTAAGTTAGAGTTAATAGGGTTTAATTTTTTTAATTCTGATGAAGTATATTTAAAGTGAGTTATATATAGGATTAATTAAAGGAGAGTATATAAGGAGTGACTCTTCAAGTGACGAAAAGAGTCCGTGTACAATGAAATATCAGTCATCAACAACAGAATTGTTTGTGAAAATAAAATAAAATTATAAAAATCCAATTGATTCTTTATATATGCAAAATTTTTATACATTTTATCTTTCAATACGAATGTTACAATATTTTAAATGTTGATAATTGGTTGTTAGATCCTCGTTTTGATTACAACCAAAAACGTTGTGCGAATCAAAAGTTTAGAATACCAAATGTTTCTCTAAAAAAGTTAATTTCTAGTCACAATTGTCCAACTAACACTCAATGCTATAGAATTTTTTTCTGACCTTGACTCAACGCTGTAGAATGACATTGTGCCATTTTAAAACTTTCATAAAATGGTACGCGAATAAAAAATTAAGGATATAAGATGCAATCAGGAAACTTTCAAACTAAATTTGTCATTTAACTCTATCTTTAATACTCCTCCGGTTCTTTACATAAGATCTAATTGATAAGTCAATATTAGTTCTATATGTAAGATCTATTTTATATGTTTATCAAAAAAATTTTAAATTAACCATATTGATAACAATGATCAAGTAAGAGAGAGAAACAGAATTAAAAAAGATGATTAAGGTGTTTTAGAAAATTCATATATTATATTAGTTAAGGGATAATTAATCTCCAAGTCTTTATAGTTTCACCTGATTTTTAATTAGGTCCTTATAAAATTTTTCCTTTTTATCAGGTCCTT